GGACACCTCCCACTACCCAGGTTGCTCCAAGCCCTATCCAGCCTGGCCTTGAACACCTCCAGGGATGGGGCAGCCACAGCTTCTCTGGGCAACCTGTGCCAGTACCTCACCACCCTCACAGTAAAGAATTTCTTCCTAATATCTAATCTAAATCTCCACTCTTTCAGTTTAAAACCATTACCCTTCATCCTGTTGCTCCACTCCTCGATGAAGATCACCTCCCCATCATTCCTGTAGGCCCTCTTTAGGTACTGGAAGGCTGCAGTAAGATCTCCCTGGAGCCTTCTCCAGGCTTAACAGCCCCAACTCTTTCAGCCTGTCTTCATAGGAGAGGTGCTTCAGCCCGCTGACCATCTTTGTGGCCCTCCTCGGGACCTGCTCCAACAGGTCCATGTCCTTCTTATGTTGGGGGCCCCAGGGCTGGATGCAGCACTCCAGGTGGGGTCCCACAAGAGAAAAAAAAATGCTCCTTGGGTTCAACCCAGCTGCCATTCAGACATTCTCCCCTTCCCCTTTGCTCACAGTTTTTTCTCATCTGTTGCTGTCATTCTCTCTTTACCCCCTTTCCTCGCTCTGCTCGTAACTGATGTAGTCTTTCTGTACTGGCTGCTGCCCAGAGCGGTGATCTGTACAAAATACCTATTTCCAATTTCCCAGCAGAGCAAATAAAGAGCTGAGCATCACAGGCAGGGCCCAGCGCTTTGGGACCCCGGCTGCTCCAGTCGGCTGCCACCTTTGCTGCTCCCCTGGGGAGAACTGTTTGAGGGGTGCAGTAGTCAGCCTGGACACCCCACCACCCCGCTCCCCCATTTTTTCCGCAGCCAGGACCGAGCTCCCACCAGCTGGGGTAGGGAAAAATCTGCCCCTGAGAGCAGAGTGGCCCTGAAGCAGTTAGGATTTATCTGATTTCCGAGCAGTAATGAATGAGAAACCTCCTTATCAGGACCCCCCGATCTGGATGGATATCGCCTCATCTGCATGCATGACTGATAAGTGTAGGAACTGTGGGTGCCTGTGCACCCATGGGAGCCCATCTGCTCGCTGGCTGCTTGTCAAAAATATGGGCTGCAAAGCAAACGTGCGCTGCTGGGCAAGGAAAAGTAGCAGATAGAGTGGCCCAATGCAGCTGTGTTGGACTGCTCCTCTGGGCCATTCCTCCAGACCAAGCTGCAGCGTTTAACCGGGCTAGAGCAGGGCAGGGGTTGGTTGTCCACCAAAGGATTGGCTAAAACACTCCCATGTGTTACTGAAACCCTTCCAGGTTACTGAAATGGGCCTGCTGGGAATCTTTTTTGCCCTAAATCCCCTGCCATCAATAGCAGGATGGGTGTCCTCGTACCGGGCACTCCTGCGGTGCAGTCCCCATTTAGTGATGTTACCAAATGACTCATTACTCCTGAAGCCCACTGGGAGATAAAACAGACCTGAGAGTTATGAGCAGTTCATCATTAGATTTTGAAGTGGTTATTCTAGCTTAGGGGCTACTCCCAGATATTTCAGGCACATAGTGAAGAGTCCCAGGTATCTGGATGAGGGGCTGGGCACACAGTGCTGAGGCAGCCCCCTCCCTCCGCCTGTCCCCCGCTCCCCAAATTAATGCCTTAGAAAAATGCAAAGCTCTTAATCTGCTTTGCATGTGATTTGAAAATAATGGCAGTGTATCAGTGTGGTAGTTGTAAGAAATGCTCCAGGAGAGCAAGCGATGGGTGGGAAACATTTATGCAAAAACATAGCCAGGAGGTGAGCATGGATGGGGACATTGCCAATGTGTTGGTACAAATGATGGCTCGGCTCTCTCTGACCTCAAGGCACAAGCTGTGTTCTCCTATATCTGCTCATTTATTTTCTTCTTTTTATAGGCTTATTCTGTTGGGGCGTTTAGTCTTCCAATCTACGCAGGATGTATGCAAGAGGAACGTTATCCTATGAACCTTCCTTGCAGTTTACAGGAGGTAGATTTGAGGTGGCTGACCTGAGGATTTAAAATATTTGACTTAAAAAAACCCTCTATCTCTTAAACTCTGATAGTCATGCAATGGCACGTTTCAGGGTTCCAATATAGTATGGCTCATGTGCTGTTTTCTGTTTAAAAAAAGTGTGTTAACTTTCTGCAACTTGTGGCCTCTAGCTCAAGACGGCATTTTTTATTTCTGCTGATTATTTGCATTTTATGTCCTGAGTGGCTTACAGAGAGGTAAATAATCGCACAGCCTTCCTTGGGCATCCCATGACACTCCACAAAGGACATGCTTTACTCTTAAGACTTGCACATCCCAGATTGCCTCAGATCCAGGTCTCCAGTATCACTTCCACATTCTCTGGAAGGTGGAAAGCGCGTTGCTTGCCAAGCATGGTGGGGTGCGGGCACTCGTGGAGCACAGCAGGATAAGAGATGGGCACAGACTGAAGCTCCCTGGGGGTTTCTGGCCCCCATTACGCAGCTGTATGTGAGACGGGAGAGTGAAAAATTTGCTTCGGTCTTCCCATGTTTACTAGTTGTAGAGCTATCTCATTTCCTGAGGCATGCCGCTGACACAGAAGAAAATAACAAAACTGTGTGGCAAAACTGCCAGCGCTACAAGTTCCGCCATCGGCTGATGGTATGAGACAGATAACTTGGCTCTGTAATATCCCCTTCAAGCTACGGGGGTTTTGCAGCTCCCACCTACCCCTGGAAGCTCCCCCTGCTCCTGCAGGATGCCCACTGGTGGGCACTGCCCTGCCTGCATCCCGGGGAGCTCCCAGTACTGGGGTGAAAAAAGCCTCTGGCTGGTGGGAAGGGCAGAAATAGCCAGCAGAGGGGTGCTTTCCCACAGAGGGGGTTGTCTGCGCACACTGGAGGGGGGTGGAAGGGGTAGGCACATGCCCAGGACCAGTGAAAAATGAGGTGTTATTGCAGCCTACAGAGAGTAGAGGCTGATCGCCTCCCCGCACGTGTTTGCCCGGCTTCCTATTGATGCTGAGCACCACCTTAAAAAAAAAAAAAAAAAGAAAAAAGAGTTGATGCTAAAAATACAAAATAGAAAAGAGGCGGGTAGGAATAACCACTGCACGTGAGTCCTTCCACACCTGCTTGGTTTGAGCCTCCTCTTTTTCCCATGCCGGAAAAACCCCCACATGTGGTGGTTCATAACAAATTGCATTGATGCCGGATGCACAGCTCAGCCCCTCGGTTCAGTGGTAAATCCCAGCCCAGAGAGAAGAGCTGCTGGAGTGGTCCCCTCTGCTGCTTGTGGGGTTTTGGTGTAGCGCTGTGCCCCAGGGAAAGTCACTGCTCAGCCCAGAGCCCCACCGGGGCCTCCGTGGACTTTCCACCATGTAAAAATAGATTTACCACAGACAACTTACACTATCAGCAGCATTGTTGAAGGTGCTGGCAGCACATTAGGCTCACACATCGGTGCCCCAGTTAATCCAGCAGCTAATGGTATGACTATGAAAAACCCCCACTACTTAGATAACCTTGTTGTATGTAATTTATTCTTAAGTGAACTCAAGCAAGCAAGGTTTAATCCCAACTAAAAGGCAAGCAAAAGGTATGAACTAGCTGAAAGGCAGCTTCCATACATCTATATTAGGGCTTTCATGGCTTTCCCAGCAGGGCTCCTTGTGGAGCCACGTGCTGTCCAAACCCTTTGCCATGCTCCCTGGGGTGCTTGCACTGTGCAGCGATTGCCCAGCTGCCCCAGATCAGCTGTTGGGGCCGAGAAAATCTGTTGTGCCCTTTCAGAAAGGAGATGACATGTTTCTACCAGGATCTACTCTCTAATTTTTTTCCATTTTTTCACTTCTGTGAATATCCAAGATCTTGCTTTCAAAAAAAAAAAAAAAAATGGTGTGAGGTTCCTCAGATAATAACTTACTTTTGTGGGAAAAGATTATTTCCCAGTCAGTGAAACTTGTGCCAACTGCAAAGAGGCAGCTCCTAACCCTCCCAGTGGACTGACATGGGCTTGAGGCAGGGAAAATTACTGCCAGTGCTGATGCCGAAACCCAGCTGACTGAAAGTTGGGGGACATGAATTGTTACTTTTTCTCTCTGGAGGAAACAGCAAATGCCCCAGAGTCCTCTGAGCATCAGGCAGGTGCTGGGCAGGGTGCACGCCTGGACCACAAGCTGCCAGCAACACACGTCTTCTGTCAGGCTGGTTGGTCCCGGGTTTGCTTTTCTCCTTGAGCAAAACTGGAGACGAAGGCCAGAGTGATTTTTTTTTTTGTGTGTGATGAAGGCCAGGAGACCAGAGCACTGGACTTTTCTGTAGATGTCTCACTCCCGTCAATCAGGAAGCAGTGACGCAGGTTATGGGTTGGGTTTGAGGTTTTGGAAACCTTTTCTAAAAGTCGATCTGCTTGCACCGTCTTATTTCTGAAGTGTGAAGCCGTGGTGAAGGCTGGTGGCAAGCGGGGGGACGCCGGCCAAAATGCAGCTTCTTATCAGATGTAACGGGAGGATTTTCCTGGCTATTTGTTTAATCCTCTTTGTGGGATACACAGCACAAGGTAAAACGGTGCGGTTGTTCTCTCGGTAATCCTCTTTCTGGGCTATGTAGTGTAGGCCAAGTAGGCAGCCTCCAAATTTTTCAGACTGACCACCTTCTAGGGGTAATGAGATCTACTCAGAAAACCTGTTTTGCTAACATTTCATTTTCTGGAGGGGCACCGGCAAGAAATGGTGCTTTATGCTAGTGGAGGATTCTTGTGTCCCTTTCCCACCCTGTATGAGAAAAAGACTTCGTAAAGTAAGTTGCTGTTTGGGGGTATATTTTCAATACGTATATTTCAGTATATTCTTTTTTAACTGACCCTTTCATAGTGGTCCAGTTATGTACTGTTATTCAGTTATGTAGTTACAGACAGAGCATGTAACAGTTCCCATGTCATAACTACTACAGTCTACTTTCTTGGGGGAGCAGGAAAGGAAACTAGTTGTAAGTATGAGGAAATTAAAACGGTTTATTCGGTAAAATATTGCAACACGCAGCACTAAAACAACTAAAAGGAAATGTTGATTCATGATGACATGTACCCTGTGGATTTGTTTCTTGTAAGGGAAAAGCACTTTTCAAGCATGTAGAGTATAATTTCTCCACAAACCAGGGCTGTAATAGTGATAGGCTTTCATTATGTATCTACCACTCAGAGGCTGATTTTTGAGAGATTATGGCCTGCTTTTTGTGCGTTGTTTATTTGCAAATTATTCAGCTGCAGTTGTTTATTTTGTTGCCACTGTTATTATTAAAAACCTCCTTAATAATAAGCTAAGAGAAGAAAATAAGTACGAAAAAGGCATACGCTGTAAAAGAAGCAGGAAATGATACCCATGAGGTCTTTTTTCTCTTACAGAGGAGTGTGGGAGGTAGCTGAAAGTCACCTACTACATTATGGAAATATATAGGGCAATAGAGAAGTGTAATTACAGAAAGATAGTCCCAAGAAACCGAGGAAAAGTAGATAAAGCGCCAACAGGGGGAGAATGTGCCAGGAGGCTTCAGAACAAATTAATTACATGAGACCAAAAGGAAGGGCGAAATGCCGCTGTTTTTATCATTGCTTTGCAATCGTTATTTTCTCCTTTTGGTATTTTTTGAAGACTCGCTTTTCAGCGACAGCCCCAATCAGGCACTGGGGGGCCACCAGAACCGAAACCATGGGTTTATGTAACCCTGGGCTGTGTCTAGGAGACGCCTGAATCATCTCTACTCTATGCACTCTGAGAATATACGTAATCCCCAAACCTGCTCCCGCGCCAGGCGGCTCTTGGCATACCTTGAGTTTCCAGCCTCCCTGCCAGAAGTCATCCCATCAAACTCGAAGGTGCTGAGCTGAGACGGGCAACGCCGAAGTGGGGTCAGCCCTGGCCCTCGCTGGAGCCAACAGAGAAAGGGAGGGCACAGGAGCCAGCTCTCTGCTGGGGTGGCTTGTCCCCCGGAGATCTTGAGATACCTCCACCAGCTTCGGGGATAGCTGAAGGTGGCCAAGCCCGTGGGTCCCCTGGGGATGTGCTGTGCTCCAAGCCAGAGATGGGCCTTCAACAGTGTGAGGCGGTGGTTTCCCATGGGATTTCCATTGCTAATTCCCATGGACTTCCTGGTGCTGCGTATGAGGTGCACCTGACATCTCTGATAGCAGGGATGTCACTTAGGGATACCAGTCACCACTTAAAAAACAGTCTGCGGGGTTAATTTACTTTTTGGCAGTTGAGCAATCAGGGCCACACAAATTACTTTCTT